ACCAGCGCAACTTGTCTATCTCTTCTTCCAGCTCCACGATCTTCTCGTCAGTCCTCAGGGTGCGTGCGTTGTCAGGTCGAGTCGTCTCTGGTGGCAACCGAACCTCCACCGGAGATTCTTCGCCGTTACCATGTTCGCCACCGTAGCCAGGAATAGCGGGGCCGCCGGGGACTGGGGGCCGTCAGTTTGTTGCTCTAATCATTGGGGGGTATTTGCCATAGTTGCCACGTTTGGCGAGCTGTTTGGCAACCGCAGTTTTTTTTTATTGTAATTTTGGCTATTATCAGGAAGATGCTGCTGCCCATCTCCTGCCTGTTTCCCTTTGTCGCCTTTTACGACACCCACGGGAGGATATGGGGTAGTGGATATTCTTGACCGCCACTACACGGCTATCCCCCTAATAGCAATAATAAATTCCCCTAATATTTATAATAAATTAGTATGCCAGCGTAAAATAGCAGCTTAACACAGCTGTGTTTCGTATGGTGAGTGTAGAGATTCGGAGACCCTTTTTCCTTGTAAAGTGGAATTCCGTCTTAGTTCTCACAGGTGACAACGCATCTGCATTTTGATTCATTATTGAAGATAAATGGATACTGCTCACAAAAACCAATTACTATCAAGTGGACTGTGTGCTCGTTTGTCACCCTATCCAATAAAATTAAAAAATACCAGCAAATCTTTGCCCAAAAGGTGATTTCAAATTATATAATGTCAAATCTAGTAGAAGATGTCATAAACATTTTTAATAAAATTATTTAATATTTTATGAGTATTTAATTTTGGTTAAAGTGGCAAAACACTTATTTATTTAATGATTGATAAGACACCTTACATGCGAGATTTTGTCTCACCATTCTAACTTTTTCATAAATAAAATTACTCCTGTTTGTTGCAGTTGTAGTTCGTGACAGTGTTACGCTGCAGCATTATGGCTGCTGTACGAATGGGTCAGTTCTAACGGGAGAAACTGAGCTTGGTTGATACTCTCTATTCTATAAAAAAAACCTTGCGTAGTAGCCTCCTAACTGACAAATACAACTTATCGATTGACAGCTTCAGTACCTAAATGTTTGAGGTAATATCCAACTGAAATCACATAGACCTTCCATAGGGGGATATTGTTCATAACTAGTGTGAAAGTTTTACTCTCAGCATATTTGTGTTATTTTCAACCTCGTTTAGTAGGCACTAGTAATTTTTTTTGTTGACGCGTCATTGCGGAGAAATAGCCAGTATATGGGAAAGCCTTATTATAGATTTATAAATGATGACGACGACGAGAAAAGAAATGATATTTTTTTATCGTCAATGTCATTATATTTGAGTCTGTAATAAGTACCTATATATTATTGATGAATTAGCACCTGTCGCAAATAAATTCACGCGTACGTACGTACGTACGAGCATGCATTGTAATAATACTACGAGTATTAACTTTTCTGATATAAAATTATGCTTAACGTATTATAATAAAGAAAAAAGAGGTCAACATGCTTTGACAATAAATATCGTTAGAAACCAATAATGTTGCATAAATTTAACATTTTTCTGGCATCACAGAGTAATAAAGTTATTTAAACAGCTTCATGTGTAAGAAAATTTAAAAATATGTTGGATATAATCCAAGTAATATTGTGCACTTACACGATATTTCTATATACTCGTAAGATTTTAGTCGACTTAAAAAAAGGAGTTTCTCTATGCGACTGACTATGTTCACGATACGATTTATTAAATATTATACATTTCAGAGGTGGTCACAAAAAATTTTATGAAAAAATTCTACCCTGGAGTGTAATATTATAAAGAATTTCTTACATCCTTCTAACACCACCCTCAGTTTAATACTAACGATTAGTAATAGTAGTTTTTTTTAAGTACGTTCCAGCAGATTTTAAGTTATTAAAAAGTAAAAGACTCCAAAGAACTAAAAATAATAAAATAATTTCCACATAATAACTTCTTAAGTCAAGTGTGCCAAGACATTTTGTATAGAAGAAAAACCTCGGATTCCCTAGCTTTTTTTACAAATTCAAATATTTAAAAAATCTATAGGAAACACTACCGACTAAAATAAAAGAAAACATCATTAGAACTACCGCACACTGGGGACTTGAGGAGGGAGGATACTGGTTATGCGCTCATCAACTTGAAGTGCGGCTAAATATCTCTGGCGGGAATCCGCCCTTGTATATCTTTGGGAATCAATCTACAACTCCATTATGCCTTTTTATTATAGTAATATCTTATAATTCAAAATAAAATTAACCTAAAATAAAATTAATATTAAAAAGACATGGGCCTGTAATCGCTACTGATTTATTAACACAATACAAACAAACCAGAGGCCAAAACGCTAAAACGAAGCTAATTATGATTTTCAATAAAAGTTACACTATCGCGCTGCCACATTCCTTATCGCCTGCTATAGCTTGCTGAATTTAATCAATTTTGCTAGGAAATGCATAACAGTTGGTGCTTTTCAAAAGACTTATGTCCATCAGTTGATTTAAAAAAGGCAGACACGTCCTACCAGTAGGGCTAACTGGTAAGACTAAATGTTGCTTGCTCTTATGGCAGCGCTGTCGTCTCATCGCAAAGTGATCACGAAACGCACTGAACGCAAACCCAAACCTAAATCACGCTATTTAAGTTCCAAAGTACTGCGACATAATATAGAAGCTCTGTCGAACACCTTTCCCGCCGGAAGATCTCCCCTTTCCCTTTTACGGCTAAAGACTGACAAAGATGAAAGTGGTAATAAACACCCCCAGTGTTGTTTCACATCAACAATGGCGCTCGATGATAAAACGATTCTTTGATGATATAATATAGGCCTGTCGAAAGTCTTTTAACTTTTTACTTGTACAATTGGTGAACAGTGAATCGTACGAATATGAACTGTAGACCAACTGCATGACGTTTTTAGAAGCCATCGCCGTTATTTTCTCGTGTAATAAATTACTTAGAATTATAATATACAAACCAGATAAACATTTTATTAACTATTATAAGATACGACTTAGGGACCTTCAAGAAAAGAGCGTACTCCTTTTTAAAAGGCCGGCAACGCATCTGCGATTCCCCTGGTGTTGCAGTTGTTCATGGGCGGCGGTAGTCACTTACCATCAGGTGAGCCGCATGCTCGTTTGCCCCCTCTCCTATAAAAAAAAGCCACTACTTGACTACTATTTCACCTCATGGTAATGATTATGAAGAACTGAAACTAAAATACACCCACATTGTAATCGGATAGAAAGATAGATGCTGGAATATTATCTCACTCATTTGCTATATGCATTGCGAACTACGAAACAAACCATTTGGTTCAATTAACAAGGAATGACACAATTTTTCTGATGCTACCCACGTACTCAACGGTGATGGCTAGTCGTACAAATATATTATATCTTGGTAATATGTGAAATTAGTAAATTCCCGCTTTTCAACGTAACGCACCTTTATCTATATTCTGACTCTTTTGGAATTAACAGAAGATTTTTTTATAGAATTAGTGTGACAAACGAGCACACAGTCCACCTGATGGTAAGTGCTTTACAAAACACGGTCACGGGGGGGAGACTGAAGTGCTTGATGTCCCGCTGTCATAGTTGGAAGTCTGCAAAACATGTTCAAGATTTCTTTTTTTATACGATAGGGTGACAAACGAGCACACAGTCCACCTGATGGTACGTGGTTGCTGCGGCCCATAGACATCTATATTTATCCTCAACAGAGAATCAAAATGCAGATGCGTCGTCACCCGTGAGGACTAAGATGGAATGCCTCTTTTCCAGTAAAATGTGTCTCCGGTTCTCTACACTCACCATACGAAACACAGCAGTGTCAAGCTGCTATTTTACGCTGGTATTCTGTGAGAGCATGGTACTTCCTCGGTCGAGCCGTCTCATTCGTGCTTCAGCTATACTACTAATATAGCTGCAACATGGCTCTACCACGTACAAAACTGATGTTAAGATCATCCCCGCCATTACATCATATTTGATATACCACAAACACTTGCAAAAGAACACCGATTACTACCAAGGATGATTCGCGAGGCAATTGAAATAAAAAAACATCGTAATTTTAATAGAGAAGGTGGATGCGTCTGCTTGGGATCCTATAATTAATGAAATTAAATCCTACACCTAAGCATACCACTGCAATACTTCAAGACACTGTAAGCTCGTTTTGCGTAGATCAGACCAAAAATTAATATACAATAACTGCAGGCTGTCGGAATAACTATGGGATCGGGATGTCTTACACAAGAAATTAAAATTTAACGCGATAAAATCCGTAAAATCAGTTTCATTTAATGTGTATTATATATATTTTTAACTATTATTAGCCAGTGCACGACTACTATCCCATATGATGGATGAAGCCATAGATGATAAAACTTACTGGACGTACATTAACAAAAGCCTTTTTTTCTACAGTAATATTTAAATTATTCAATAAAAACACGTAGAATTTGTAAACTTGGCCATTTATTTCAAAGCAACGTTAGCAATGTTTAGCGATTAGCAGTTTTTATGAAAAGAATATTTTGATATTTTCTAAAGGTAGTTTTATATATTATATGAATACCAATCCAATAAGGGTTGAAATATAATAAGTACTATTTTAATAGTAAAAAGCGAACCCAAACTATTCGCTCTGTCGTTTATTACTACATATTTTAAATTACATATAAATAAACGAAAAGAGAACTTATGCAGAGTGGTATATAAACTATGTATTTTATTTATATTGGCTAAGAGAAATGTTATAGAAATAGAAAATAATTGTACATTATTAATAATAATATTATTTCTTTCATTTCATATAAAATGTTATATGCTTGTTAAAAAGTAGGTCCTTAAAACTACTTATACTTAACAATGTAGTATGTTTTAGATATTACATGTAATTTTACTAAATTTGAGAGTATTTACGAGAAAAAAATTCAGTCTTTGCCTCAGTAACGTTAAATATTAATATTACAGTGACTAAACTTGACTATGTGCAAAGGTTTCAAAAGTTTCAAAATGAGGCCAATCTGATAATCTCATAAAAGACTTTTTTGAAGAGAATTTAACTTTCTTTAATTTTTTAACCGAGGCATTTTCTGATTTACGGTCTTTTATTCTATTTTGAAAATCTCTTGAGGAGATATCCATAACTTTTCCCCAAAAATTTAGTTCATTCCATAAAATAGATATCTGTGGATCTCGCTGTTCTTTAAGAAAAGCATAAATAGAGTTATCGGGCCCAATATCTACAAAAATGTATACTGTATTTTTTGCTTTTAACATCTCACCGCGAATCTTTTTTATGTTTACTTGACTATAAGTCGTCATTAAATAATTTGGTGAAAATATAACAAAGGTCATCTCTATGCCATTTTCACTCATAATTTTCTTCATTAAATTATTTTTATGGGTCATCACAGGCTTCATTATTATTTTTGCATTGTCATAATCTTTTAGACCAGGTATTATTTCTTGTAGCACAAATTCTTCATCAAATATAGAGTATTTGACAACAATTTTTTTGTCCTCTTTTTTATAAAAAGTATGACGAAACAAGTTAAAACATATTCTTTTTAAGAATGCGTTAACTTTTTGTTTGTAAATAAAGTACATAAATGTAACAATAACAGCAATAACCATAAAGGTAGCGATAATAAAAATCATTATATAAAATGTCATATAACAAACTGTAAACGACCATATATTACAATGCTTGAAATCAACTTCGGCTACCTGTAATTAAAATTTATTATCAACGGTACAGAAACACAGAACCGAGTCAAAAATATAGTTTTAAATTTGCTTTTTACCTTTGTTTTCCAGTGAGTTTGAACAAAATCCAAAAACCAGAAATTTTGACACCCACAAATTAAATTTTTATTATCAACCAAAACTTCTTTAGTAGGAGTTTTTATTGTTGTTTCGTTGTTTTGTAACATTCCGTTTTCCCTGACGCCCTTTAAAAGAACATCAAAAATTATTATTGATATTAAATATGTAAAATTTTTAACTTAACACTAGCAACATTGTAAAAATTATTAAAAAAATAATAATATTGTAAATTCTTTCATATTATGTGATAATGATATTTTTAATACCATAAATATATATTAAATGCATATTGTTCGCTACGTACCCATAGATTTTTAATTGAATTAAATCTTATGTCTACTTTTTCATGGCCATTGACCCACCAGTCAGCAAACACTTGTTTAAATTGATTATGGCTTAAATTAAGCAACTTCAGGTTATATGTGTACATAAATGGAGAACTTGCATTTATTTTCCATGAATTATTCACTAAAATCTTATTTTCGAAATTAAGTTCATTTAAAGCAAAAGATATCCACATATTTTGCTTGCTATTTTCAAACATATTGGAGGATATAAGTTTTAGTTTGTTGTTTTCCATGTTTAAGTACATTAGACTTAACAATGGTGAAAAGATTGACCTGAAAAAAATGCATAATTCATTCATCAATAACACCCAGGTGACTCAGCGAGTGCCAGAATTAAAATGATTTTTACATTTAACTTTTCTTTTATAATCCAATACAAAGACGATCTACTTAGTTCATCGTCGTCATTCTTATTTTTTTTTTTGCTATAAATAACTTCACTATTTAACTTCTCTATGTAAATAAAATGTAAATGTTCGGTTATACAAAAACCTTAAGTCATTAAAGTTCTTTACAAACTGAATTATTTCTTGTTTACGCAGACACTACACTTTTTTATGAAACTAAGTTTTACGGATTTTATCTGTCAGATTGTTTTGAAATTCAGACACAACGTTGCATTCGAACATGTGCGTGTTCTGATATACTTTCTGAAAACTTTTCTATTGCTAATGACAAATATTTATTGACTTCATGGAAAGCACAAAGTTTCAAAAAAAGTATTTTTGTCGGACAGATTTTACTTTCCTTCTTATTTTTCTAATTCCAGCACTCTTCATTTAGAACACATGCAATATAAATTGATGTTCGTCTTACCCAGATATTTCAGATATTGAATTACAGCACAAATTAAGTCTCTCTAGTCTAACTAATGACGAAAACAGTTTGGCCTCAAGGCTTTTTAGGTTGTTAAAACTGAGATCTAATTCCAACAAATTTATTTGATCATTGAAAAGAGATTCTGGTAGTTTCTTTATATCATTGTGTGCCAGTGATATGTTTGTAATGAGAGGAGAATAGAAAAATATATCTTCAGACACAAATTCTATTCCACACCATTGTACATGCACCTGTTCTAAATTGGACAAGTTTCCCAAAAATTGTCTTGGCAATTCTTTTATTTTAGCATTGTTATTTAGAATAATTAATGTCGTTAACTCCTTATTTCTTCTAAATAAATTTTGTGGTAGCACAGAAAAGTTATTCGAAAATAAAGTAAGTTTTTTCAAATTGGTTAATGGATTAAAAATTGTTGCAGGTAATTCATTAATACCATTTGAGCTTACATCTAATTCTTCTAAAACTTTAAGACCTTCGAAAAATTCTTTTGATAAACTTGAGATATTAGTTTGCCATAGTGAAAACTTTTTTAAAAACTTTAAAGGTTTAAATATTTTTTTGGAAAATGTAGTCAGATGATTGTGACTGATTTCCAATGTTTCTAAATGTTGTAGGGGTTCGAATAATTTCTCTGAAATTCTAATTGATTTAATTCGTATGTTTAACCATCTAAGATTACTCAAATCCGTAAATACCTCCTCAGGGAGGTGAATAACCCCATTCAGAGACAATAATAATTTAGTAAGATCCTGTAGTCCTGTAAAATGTTTCGTGTAAAAATTATGAGTAAAATTTCTTTCATTTTGAAATATCAGAGATATTGTTTTAGATACTCCTAAAGTAGTTAAAACCTCCTTAAAAGATGTCGATGGAAGCGGACAATCTTTAAAACTGACTGATTTAAGATTTCCTATGCGATCCACGCATTGTGGTAATTTACTGTAATTAAAAGTCGCTATGTTTTCACACTTAATATTCATGTACACCCCTGGTAGAGTATCGATTTTCACCGATTGACCTGAAACAATTGAAAAATGACTACTATTGAACATTTAATATTAAAACATAACGCTAGACACATCGCGATAATATATAAATTGGAAACACATAGACGAGGCACTTTAAAATAAAGGATACTGGAGAAAGGAGCAATAACGTGTACTTTATATAATAATAAAAGTGAAAAACGAGCAAGATGTCCACCAAAACATCCAAAGGGAATCAACCGCTTAGAAAACTAACACTTACCGTTGATGTTGCAATTACATTCAATAGATGTTCCCCTGCAAACACAGTTAAGATCATCTGGACACATCTGTGTAGAAGCTCCAAGTGTTTGTAGTGTCAACACTACTATGTATCCATAAATGATATTCAGATCCATTAGTAGCTTCTTATAGACTCTTTAAAACTTTTACATGACGGTATCTATGGTAGTAAGTAGGCTTTAATATTTTTTCCATTAATAATAATCCATGATTCGCCCTGCAAAAGAAATAGTTTTTGTTAACAGTATTAGAGCCCAACTTAAAAACTACTTTCCTACAATATAAAATAAAACTGAAGGACGCAACCCTTGACGCAACCTGTAACATGTCAGTGCTGCTACAAATGTGCTTTTAATTATCCTTTCTGATTATGTCACAACATAGTGTCAGATAGAGTACGTTGACAATAAAAGATTTATTGCAGCAAAAATCACGACTTGAAAGCCCATTTTGTATTTGAGTGTATTCAAAATAATTTTTTTGAATACTAAATATAATTAAGGGATGATTTTTTATACTGATGATGCGCCTGAACGCAAGTAAGATAAAATGCTGTATTTTAGGCACAACACAACAACACACAAAAACCAACTATTTGTATTTTCGTCTTAATTTCAGTATCGGCTCGGATTTGGGCTCGGAAATAATGCCGTAATTGTCAGAAATCGTGACAAGACCACGCCGTCGCGTCGTATATATAAATTATATAAAAATTACTTAAAATTATTATGGTACAAGAAGTTTATATTATTATATTATGGCTTATATATTTAAGCCCCCTTACATATATTATTGCACTAATATTCCCAGATGTTCTTAATAAATGAGTGCATTATCGTCATCTTCCTTCACATTCTACTCAAGTTCATCGGTATGCATTACTTGGTAGATTTGCCTATATATGTCACGGTGGACGGGTTGATGAGCGTATATGTGATTACATTGGTATTGCTGCCCCCATCGACAAGATATATGTAAATTTTGCTATAGCAATGAAGGGCTGATAATGAAAAATCCATTCGAAATAGCTTGACCAAAATTTCACAGACTGATGATAGAGTGTAATAAATATATTTATGTAAATGAAAGTAAGTGAAAACTCTTTATTTTTCAAAATAAGAAGTTAAAGTTTTGTTAGTCAAACGTCAACATGGTTTTAATCCACTATAAGGCTAGAATTTGGATCAAAATAACGTTGTTAATATTTTTTATTACCTTTAATATAATTTCCTTTTTAACAAAGTTCAAAAAGGTCAAAGTTCAAAAACCGATACAAAAATGATATTAGAATTTCAATTGTTAATTTTATTTCATTCATTACATCCTATCAAATGACCACTGCTGAAAATAGGCATCCACAATCCACATCAAAAATATTTGCCATGTGTGGCAGGAGGGTTAGAAACCACATTTTTTTAATATTTGGGACTTTATCAGGAAAATGCGGCTGCTTATCTCCTGTTTCATTTTCCTCTGTGGCCTTTTGCAACAGAAACGGGATGATGGATTTTCTTAAGCCGCCACAACACGATGACTTAAGCCATAATTACTATCCTGATATTTTATTCAAAATATTTTTTTAGAAGACGAAACAAATAATCATTTGTATATTATTAATTAAATAACCACGTAAAATAAATATCTATATTATAATATTTATTATTTGCGTTTCTTTTAATTAGAAATATATCTTTTCAATAAAAAAACTACTTATAACAACCGTATTATGTTACTACGAAATTGTATTACAAAGTATAAATACTTTGAAATATAAGAAATATTATGCAAACCGTCTAACACAAGCAGTTGGCTTTAATTATAGTGATCTGCTAAAAACTGGTTACTAGTAATATTAGTAGTATAACAGGTACTCCTAAAATAATTATGTTTAAATGAGAATATAATATATAAAGTATTTTGAAGTATACCAAGGCAAATTCATGACAGTGCAGGAAAAACATGAAACATAAACGGAAATTAACCCAATTTTAAAAACAAAATGTTATCAGGTAAAAAAATTATTATATATTTATAAATAGTATGATGCAAAAATAATTATAACATTAAAAGTTATCACAGAGCAAATTGAAAATATCCTATACATTTGTAACTATTTTTTAAAACGCCGTTTATATTTTACTGATTAATTAAACAGGTATATAATAATATAAAGTAAACTTAATTCCTTATGCTTACGCCTTATTGCAAATATCAACAGTTTAAAGTCAGCTACAATAATTGAGTATTTTTTTTATTAAATAAGTAAAAACAAAAAGCAATAAACGTAATAAATTAACATGTGTCACGATAGAAATATTGAAAAATGTTTTTCCGAAAAGCTTACCTGTATATCTTTATAATATCACTGCATAAAATGTATTACCTCTTAACTATAGTAAGAATGCTTACAGACAAAATTGTTTTAGATTAAATAGCAAAAAAAGCTTATTGCAACGAAATAAATATTTATCGAAAGGTGTACACTCTTTCACCAACACACGGCTACGAGAGCTACGCGACTACTGAACAGTTACACGGCGATGCTACAGTCACGACGCAATACGTTTTGGTAAAATAGAGACACTCGGTTTCGATCGACTTGCGACGAAAGTAACCGAATCTTAGTTGTTTACAACATTCTATTGCTAATAGATAATAAATCTTATGTGGCTATTATTAGTGAAGTATAATAATTAACTATTTTGTAATTTTTAACATTATTTTCTATAATAAATGTTTCAGATTTAAAGTAGTAATTAATGTATTAAAAATACGAGTACCACATATTAAATTGCCGTCTCTTATGTGTAGTATTATAAATGATGACCATATTTCGTCACACAGGAAATTGAAATTTGACGAAATAAGAAATTCCAGAATAGTGTCGGATTCAAAACATACGATTTGCCGAGGAGCGTCTCAATTTTTTTATAGAAGTAGCCCATAGACATGTTTATTTATCTTCGATTGAGAATCAAAATGAAAATATGTAGTCCCGGAGTAACAGGGGCTTCCCTTTCTTGTTATTCACCATATACTATTCAGCGGTATTGCGCTACTATTTTTTGATGGCATTCTTTGCGAGTGTGGTCCTTCCCTGGTCGGGCCAAACCATTCATGCCGCAGCCATCAACTGTAGCGTAGATCTACCACGTTTAGAATCGGAAGCCTTTAACTAAGTTTTCCAATTTACTAAGCATAGCGATTATGTTGCGAGTGTCGAAATGGATTGCTTTTACATTATAAGTGTTAATAATAAGTTGAAGTCTTTGTAGAAGATCTTTGTCAATTGTGAATCACATCCGGGTTGCGCCATTAAATTTGAAAAAAGAAAAATAGGGGGAAAAAATTTAATGTAAATTTTGAACGACATTATAGCTGTTAATTTTAAATTAATCTTTTAATAAAAAAGTAAAAACAGACTTCTAATGCTAAAAAGTATTACTAAAAATACTTAAATTCTACTTTCTGACGTTGGGGTTTTAAACGTGCACTGTCTTTGCACTGACTTAAAAATGTGAAACTATTCAATTAATTTTAGTTCTTCAAAGTCGACTTTAACTTTATGTTAAAATCTTAACTTTTTGCGAACATTGAAAGTCATTGGACAGTATTATTCTAGAATTAAACATATAAATGTGAGAATTTAAAATAATGCATTTTCTTTTTGATATGAATAATTTTATTTAATTATTATGTAATTTAATTTTATAAATGTATGTACTTATTAATCTATCTTATCTATGTATTTACTTACAAACCTTTTTTGCTTTTCTTTATAGGATAGGGTGACAAACGAGCACACAGTCCACTTGATGGTAAGTGGTTGCTGTGACCCATAGACATCTACATTTATCCTCAATAAAGGATCAAAATGCAGAATGCGATGTCAAATGTGAGGACTAAGATGGAATGACTTTTTTCCAGTAAAAAAGTTCTCAAAACTATTTTATACTACCCATTTTTATTAGTATTTTATGGCTTATAATGAAAATAATGTTATTTTTGTCGCCAAACCACACATAAGTTTTTATTGTTTTCTTGCTATCCTGTCCATCCAAAGGTTGTCTGGAGGAGATCGCTTTAGTGATAAGACCGCACATTGTACCATATTTCTTTATTCTCCCTTTTTTATTCATATATATATCTACTTGTGTTTTACTCAAGTTGTTAAATTAATTTTCTAAATTGAATAGAATGATTTATCCCTTAATTCAAAAGAGCACTTGAATAGCTTACCCATAACGTGGCATACACAATTGTTCATAAATCTTTGTACGTGTCTCCTATTGTTTACGATGCCAACGTTTTGAATTACCCTTCAGAGTTATGGTTAATCAGAATGCCTCTCTTGACCTACAGGTATTGTAAAAAGGTCTAAACTATCTGACAAAGCTATTATAAGAATTTTAGAAAATTTTATATTATGTATGTGCGTGTGTGTGCTTGTGTGGATGTGTGTGACTGGGCAGGTGTGTGTGTGTGTGTGTGTGTGTGTGTGTGTGTTTGCCTGTGCGTGTGCGCGTGCGCGTGCGCGTGCGTGTGCGTGCGTGTGTGTTTGTATTATAGCCTATCAAAAGGCCACAGCTGAACATATTATGTCTTTCTCGTAAACTGCTTCTAAGAAGATATTTTGCCGTAACTATCACGCTTGATAAGCGGGTTTGTCATTGGAGTTTCCATTCCATTGCAGTTCCCATACCATTGACTGTTTCAGTTTTCCCCTGTCACCTTTTACGATACCCACGGGATGGATATGGGGTAGGGGATATTCTTACATTGCCACTACACGGTTTAGTCTATAATAAGTCCTAGGCATTAGTATACCTAGAATACTGTTTGTACTTAACAACTTCTTTGTTGGATAATTTTTTTTCTTGTGAATATCTTCGTTAGATATGAAAAGGATTTAGTATTTACTTTTTGTTTATAGGAGAGGGCGCAAACGAGCATGCGGCTCACCTGATGGTAAGTGACTGCCGCCGCCCATGAACAACTGCAATACCAGCGGAACCAGGGAAATCGCAGATGCGTTGCCGGCCTTTTAAAAAGGAGTAGACTCTTTTCTTGAAGGTACATACTGGACGTATATAGTTTATAAATGATAACTTACTTT